TAAAAATCTGTGAACACTGCAGTCGGACCATGATTCACCCATTCACCTGCACTATTTTTCAAATTATGAGCTTACGAATTCACGTTCTCATGATTTTTGTAAATCTAAATATCGCTTTTTTGGCGAAATGTGTCACAAGTGCGCCTACAAATTCACGCTCTTATGAATATTTGTCCCATATCCATCCAGGGTTTCTTCCGAATTTTCCTCGTGGAAATGAACTTGATATCTGTAATCAGCGTGTCACCATTTTTGACACATTCTGAAAAATACCGATATTTAGATTTGAGACAAAAACCATGACAACGCGAATTCGTAAACTCATAATTAAAAAAATTGGTGCAGGTGAGGTCATGGGTGAATCATGGTCCGACTGCACTGTTCACAAATTTTTAGCCTACAAAAATGCGAGGGCAAGTTCTTCAGCAGATGGACGCAACTCACAAGCATGCTTGACTCAACGATCTCGCTTACTGTAACTTTACTGTATAAACCTTTCGTGCGGAATGACTACGGTTTTCGAAAACACTGGGTTCTAAAACCTTTGTAAGCGAAGTTTTCGTTCAAATTCTTCAGTCACAACCTGTGGCGAGCTAAGGGCGAGGAACGAGGAAAATCAAACACCTCGATTTCCTCAGAAAGTGTGCCCGTAGGGGTTATTTGACTTGCTGGTCATGAAAATCACATCTGTTTTGCAAGATAGCTTCTTATAGTAAGAATACTTTTTATATAAACATGGATTTCCCCAAAGTTTGCTAGCCATTTACGCCCTCACGGTTGGACTTTCTGCGAATTTTGTCTGCTATTAGAAACTAGCGAAGCTGCTTTATCAAGTGATGCTCAATGGAAGTCCTCTACAGCAGAATTGAGTTGCGCTCTCACAAACACTCATCCGCAGGTAATAGATGACCGTAGGTCAGCGCGAAACTCAGCTCAGATGGGCAGTATGGCCTGCAGATTACAGTACTAATGCAAAATTCGTTTTTAAGATGCTTATAGACTTACGACAAATAGATAATTCTTAAACATATTTCCAAAATTCGCCCTTTCTCTTGGCCTTAGAAGGAAGAGCCTCTGAATGACTTCTTGTCGAGGATGTTATGTGGACACAGCTCTATTGAAAAACTTACTAATGATTTTTAAGTGCAATGTGCGTGGCCAAATGACGTCATAATGAGTATTAGCTACTATGGAACAGAAAATGACTTCGGAAAGACCCTTGGCGATCTTTGTAAAATGGATATCGTTAGAGCTTCTTGGAAAAAAGGAACGAAACGGAATTTAGGTATTTTGGTTTTACCATTATTGATAAGATGAATTCAGATTGCCCTCCGTAGGTACTGAAAAGTCTAAGGGAGAAGTTATAAGTGTTTGAAAGCGTTTGAAAGTGTGAGTTACATCCGCATATTGTGCTTTGAAGACTAGTTCAAAAGAGCATAATCGACATGTTGTTGGATACTGACCACAAGGAAGAGAAGCTTCTTAATGAGACATAAGTAGTTGTTTTCAACCGTTAACTTTTGATCGTATGGTATTAATTGTTTGTGTCCCTATGCACTTCGCCTCAGGCAGCAAGTAAATGTAGTAATCGCAACCAGTGCATTTGTTAAAACATTTGAACAGATTTTAGAGCAAATCCGAGCAAAGAAACTTCATAGTGTACTCCTACAGTATGCTACAATATGTCACTATCAGCAAAACGATGTAAATGTTGTTTTCGGCCCAACGAGTAACCCAGCTAAGCAAAAACCTGAAGAAATCGGTAAACCTGGCTTCTTACCATGTACAGTAGCTTAAGCAGGATTTCTCCGTTTGGGAGGGGGCCACCCCACCCCTAGGTGCGCCACTACCTTGTACTTACCGTGCCCCCCCCCCCCCCCCCAATACAAGGTGGTTCAACCATATACCAAAAGATGCGCCCTAGCGAGCTGAATCGAATGATGTTCTTGGATTTGAAATTCATCCATTCTGAAGCAAGATACGGGGATGTGACGCGGATTCCGGCGCACACCAGTGAAGTGCGGCGCACCCGGTGCTCTCTACTGCTCTCCGACGCACTTCATCGCACTCTGGAGCACTCCGCCGGAGTGCGGCGCCTTTTTTACGGATTATGATCGGTACTGTGTGAGCCTTTAGAAGTTCGCATTCGGTGCAAAAACATCTCTGGGATTAACACTGGTTTTCATTTTTATGCCGCAACACCGTTTTCGGCTATGCTCTTCCATGTAGTACCAACGGTTTTTTGAAGGTTTTTTTTTCGAAAAGTCCTGAAACCCCTTATCCGGTGTTCGTATGATTTTGAAGCGCACTGTATGTACACTTTCGACTCTATACGCATGTTATTCTTATGTAGCAAGTTTTCAAACGACTGCATTTTTTTTATGCGAGATGATATATGTCTAAATATCCTTTCCTATTGCTTTCCTACTTCTTTCATTCACAGTGTTCTTAAGTGTTTGAGACCAGGTCACTGCATCGAAGAGGACCAAATGCGGGAGACGGTCGAATGGCGCGTATTGATCGATTGTGACTAATCAGGAGAACCGGGGGGATAGTCTGATGGTGTGCTACTTCCGGGATTTCAACTACTAATCCCCTGTTGCTACTTCGGATATGATGACAAAACTTCAGGAGTTTGGAAACCTCGCTTTTCTGTACAAATCCCTTCTGGCAATGACTGCCGAAACGCGCGCCTTTCGACATACACCCACCAAATGCGACGAAATGACTCTAAATGTTTGCGAGAATCGATTTTTGCTAGCAGTTGTCTTGCATGCGTCAGCGCACGTGACCAGCGCACTAGATGCAGGCTCACGCCCAAATGTGCTGTGCCCATTTGCTGTACATCTATGTATCAATTTCTGACGATCCAATGGCGTGCTTGACATGGCAATCCAGCAGTCACAAAACACTCCGATGTTATCAATAGAAGTTTGAATAGAGCTCTCGGCACGGCGTTTTTTGCATGAGAAGGACTAAAAAGTCACGCAAAGGTCTGTGTAACGAGCCGTTACTTGCTAAAACTCAAAAACATCATACATCAAGCCAGCTCGTAATACAATGTAATTTTTATTTATTTACTTATTGATCTTTTGCGCACATTAGATACATCGCATAAATCGCTTCTTCGATCCATGCAGATTGAGCGGCTGCTGTTTCGCAAAGTTTACCAACACTATGGCTGACTTAAACTTGCGCGAGAAATCGCTAGACCTTTTAAGTACACCGTAACACCGCGGGTTTCACCTTTTAATCCTAGGGCCAAATCTTGAAAACACCCTTTGAAGTTTTATTGGCCTCTACCTCCTAGGTGAGCCGGCATCAATTATGTCACTACACGTTTCAGAGTTGGCGCGGAGGGAGCTAAACTACGCTGTACTTGGACGAAACTTCCTTCAAAGGCAGCACCAAATACAGCTTATACCGATTTTTTGGAACACCCATTCAGCCAAACCTTAAGTCCGAGTCGATATCTACCCCTTTACTTAGGCCAAAAAATCTGCTCTCGCAATCAGAGATGACAACTGAAGTGATTTGGAACGTAAAAACTCGCCGATTTCTCTCTTTTGTGTTCTAGCACGTTTTGCCAGGCAAGATCCCTCCCCCCCCCTATTTTATCGCCAAGCCGCGGACGCGAAGAAAAGGGGTTCCATTCATGCAAATTCTACATGGCCTACCAAAGGTATACAGTCTGTCCCAATTAAAATTAGGCCGCACCAATGGCGTAAACTTGCGCGCTCACTCCGATAGGGCTTTGCGCTGGATATGCGCACTGTAAGCGAAGAGATGAGAGAGCAGACAACTCAGCAGTAGACCTGGTGCACTACTTCGCGACACGGGCTCCCGCCGTGCCAATCTTAGCCTGAATGGATTGGGACAGACTATGGGTAGGAGTAATTCTTACGCGAATCTGGACCTGCACAGACCTTACTACCACCTTCATTAAGGACACGTAATAGGGCAACACATGATGGAAAGGCTGCTTATTTTATAAATTCCGGGGTTCGGAGTAAAGAGACACTGTTTTTTAAGCACGAAGCTTTTAACTATAAGAGAGCGGGCATATCTTAAGTTACGTCCTACTTCAGTGTGCGTACATAAGGAATGTCTGGCTTATGCACGATGTTTTGCTTCGATGCATTTTTACTTTGCTAGTCTGGTTCTGTCGGTTAACTGTGAGTTCAAGTCGGGGACAACGCATGAGATATTCATATAGCAATGAGCACATCGCTGTAAAGATATCTCACCGATTACCCCACTGGCCATGTTATACGTTAGAAGCAGTGCCCGAACAATAGGTCGATTTGAGATTTTGTGCTTACGCGGGCCTATTCGCTATGCTAAATCCAAAAATTCACACTGGAGAGCGCGAAAACGGCGAAAAAGTGCTCTAACACAGGAGGGAAATCAGCAGGTAAGTGGGGTCTTTCCCAATGCAAATTCAGCTCTCAGCCTCCGGAGAGATATTGCTTTCGCTAGCCGCTCTGACATCGCCACCGGCCAAGTGCGAATGCGTGGCTCGAAATCGGAACCGAAAAATCGTTCCGGAAGCTGGGAGCGTGAATTCACAATGAGGAAGAGGCCATTTACTTGCTGATTTACCTCCTGTGTTACAGCCTTTTTCGCCGTTTTCTTGCTCTCCGGTGTTCAGCATAGACTCAGCATAGCAGCCTTTTCGGATTCAGCATAAAATAGGCCCGATTAGGCACAAAATCTCAAAATCGACTTTTTGCCCGGACACTGCCTTTAACGTTTCTTTTAGGGACCAAATGCAGGTCAGTCTTAGTGAGTTCAAATGCTTATTGCGTAATCGCATAAGTATTCAGAACTTACTAACCTCAGCGCACTCTTTATCGCAATGTTTTCTTTGCTCCATTCTTTTTTTTTCGCCAGGGTGAACGTGCAATTTAATTCAGATATTATCGTCTTGTTAAAGAATTGTGGTAATCCAGTCACAAAAAACCACAACGTTAGGGGTTTGTTATGAAGCAGCTACTCACCTTTGCAGATAAGCTTGTGCAGGCTTTGTTCATTATCATCACATTCAAAGGATGAACGCTTCCCGCTGTAGAAGAAGAGCTGAAAGAAAGCATTGCAACGAGCTCAAAAACTTCTGGAAGGTCGCAGTTCAAAGCAACTCTCTTGCAAAATTTCAAAAGAATCCGTTCTCAGGATAAATACGCATGAAGATGTCAATTGCTTCATTATCTAGGAACTACACGCATGAAAAAGTCCATTAGGGAAAGGCTGTAGTGGGAGTGGAAGCATGAAAACAGAAAAAGTTGAACTACATTGCACCCATTTGTATGTAAACACACCCTCTCCCCATGATTCAATTTCATAACAAAGTATCAATCGCGTGAGCGACTGCATCACGCGGTGACACGACGAACAATGAGCGATTTGCTGCATCAAACACTCTTTCGCAGTCTGGTCACTCAGCTCTCCGCACACTTCGTCATGAATCAATAGTCGCAGCGGGGTGCAAATCAATCAACGCGCCGGCGCGGTGCGGGTCTCTTTGGTATCGATCCTCAATCCACACATGCGGGGCCGTCAACTTCCCGCGGCCGTTCGTGACCGCGAGGAAAGCGAAAACGAAGGGGCTTCCAAATCGCCAAAACTACACAGCGGCAAAACAAGCCATCACAATTTCCATCGCTCGCATCAGAGATTTAGTTTTCAGATGTACTTTTGCAATATTATAGGACTTTTGAAATCACAATGGCTATCTGCTTTATTAACTTCAATCAAAGCATCAGCCTGTGTTAATAAGTCGAATGTGTTTGATTACTTTCCTTACATGAGACCTGTTCTGCCAGACTTTTCAAAAAATTATCTACGATAAATTACCCGTAAGTTTCATCATACATGATTTTATGGACTTGCGTCATTTACAAAAAACTACATTCTGTTCAACTATCTTTGTAGCTGATTTTGTTGATCAGATAATTGCAAGCAGGAACAAGAGCTCCTGGGATATTCAGTTGTCGTAGGCATTAGAAAAATTTTTGAATCTAACTTTGTAGTTGCTTCTAATGTATATTACTGAAGGTTTCCGCTAGTATAAGTGGCGTCAATTCCCATCAAGTGCAAGTTGGTAGACATAGACTTGAAAATCTATGATTATACCCACCCAAATTTTTTTTGTTACAAAAAGAAGCTCGCGTTCGGAAATAGGAAGACGAAGCTTACTGCGAGCTTTTCCTCCCAGTTCCAGGAAACATTACCTGTTTTATAAGACTCTACATAAAGTTGGTATATATGCGACATTATATAGAGGTAATTTTGTAGAATACATAGTAAGGGTAGCATCATGAAATCTTCAACTAAACCTTACAGGATTATCTTTGCCTGCAAAGTGGTGCAATGAAGAAAACATCTAAATAAGTCGACCATATTGCAAGGTAGTAGAACCAGCAAACTTCCAGAAGAAGCATGTATGTAACCGTACAAGTACTGTATGTAGGTTTTAGGTAAATACGCTGTTAGCAGTGGCGGTCCGAGGATTTCCAACCGAGGGGAGAAGAAGACACGATTTCTTTTCAAATGAAGATGCGTGCAGCCGCTATTCCAAAAATGTTCTTGGGACGGGCCTAAAATCTTTGCGGCCTTATAACAAAAATGGTGTTGGTTTTTTGCACGTATAAACATGCCACTCATTTCTATGGCTCATGTAAGTAACTTTTAACAACTTCGCGACCCGTTCTCTGGCAGTAGAGGAAGGGAAAGGGGCCCCTTGTTCCGCCACTGCCCGCTAACTACTTCACTGTAATATCTTTCGACAAACACTGTGTTTCGAACTTTTACAGGATTTACTAGTGGAGTGAACAACAATTTATTGACCGACGATAGTAGCAATTCCTGCTTTCAATAATTGTTTCGCTTGTCATCCTTCCATTTATAAAGCCTTTTTGTAATATCTCGCACAAGATTGTACAAATAATTCGTCCATGCTGTACCATGCGTGGTAGCCCGCATTGCATGTCTTTTTATACTCGATGTCAAGATGTACTGAATTCTCAAGCCTTACGATAGTGTGACAAGTGTCGCACTAGTATGAGCCGTTGTCGTTACGGTAGTATCAATGTTCCAGATTTCACTTCTGAGCGCCTTCCACTGAGTCGGTGCAGGAGCATCTTGGGAAATTCAAATCACTGACCTGTAGTCACGGCTATTATAACCCGTTTGAGCGATGCGCTCAAGAATTTGAGTAACGGGTTAGGCGCTATCACCTGGCTCAGCACTCATTTACAACTGTAATTTGGAGCCTGGTCAGAGATTGGAAGACTGATAGTTACCGACTTTGGCGATGTTCCGACCTGATTTCAAAACCAAACTTCATCATTTCTGAAAACGTCCATACATGTAGTAGTGGAGAGATTCTCCAACAACACATTACAGATTGAGAAAAAACCTTTAAGAGGAGAACATTCTGCTACGAAAAGTATCGAGTATCGGGCACAATTTGAGTGCCGCCATAATTAAGAATCATCCTAGATTTTGTTCCATATTCGAGAAGGTAAATGATTACTTCCGCTCAGTTTTTAAAGTCTCTTATTGGGTCTCTTCAAAGTCAGAAAAGAGTACACGAATGCCTAATGGAATGTACCACCAGCAATACGATCAAGAGGAATTGCAGCCTACCTTAGCCAACAATAACTTAGGTGCAACCGTTACCAAAGATGATATATTACGAAAAACTGTGAACTTTAAAGCACGAACGTTTTTTGCAAGAGGCTTTGTTGGATATGACTAACAAGGGAGGGTCACGAGTCGAAGTGGCCGATCATACTTGTATCCCCTTAATGAAAGATTGGAACGTTGGTTCCAAACCTGCTTTTTTTCATGTGTAGAGCTTTTCTGAAGAAGGAGGCTCTCTTGAGGCGAAAAATGAACTAGTGGCCGGGATAAAACTGCTACAGCATCTTTAAAGTGCCTTCATACCGCGCTGTCAGTCGCCACTAGCAGCCCGTAGGAAATCGTAACAGCCGCCAGCAGCCCGTGGCCGCCGCCAGCAGCCTGTAGCCGCAGATGGCCTTGTTCGTAGAAGCGCAAGACCATAAACTCTTACTAAATACTTTGAGTGCACCCGCCCACGCTTTCCATCTTCCAAGCATTTTTTCCTATTCCCGCTTTTGTGCAGTTCGACTCTCTCACACATCTCAGAGTATTCAAAATAAGCACCAATAGCCAAGGAAAAGATTGAAGCAGAGCCATACTAAAAAAAACATTTAGCACACCTAAATTGAACGCATCCAAAATCCGAGGAAATCACACTGCGAAGAAGCTTTGGCAAACTATGGTTCAGCTGAGAGGGAAAATGAGCAACAATAAGATAAGCAATCAACGGCAGCAAGATAATAACAACAATGGACCCAAGCATGATATTTGGGATCAGACTGTATATCGGCGGCGACAGGAAGAAAATAAGCGTGGAAGCTGGGAAGCGTGGGCGGGTGCACTTGAAGTAGTAAGATTTGATGATTTCGCGTTTCTATGAATAAAAGCGACGGCTACGCGCTGCTGACGGCGGCTGCTGGCGCGGTATGGAGGCACCCTTAGACAATAAATGAAGCAGCGGCAAGTGACAGGATACTTCATACAATGAACTTCTTCTGCCTAGTATATTAGTACGCTTTAATTTCCCATTTGACTTCTAGAAAGATTCGATTGACTTTATACGGCCATCAGTTCATTTATTCGCTTCAATAATTACCCATAACCTTTTCCCTAAAGCGCTTTGCAGTAATTACAAATAAATTTGAAATCAGCGCTTCAAGCGCTCCCTCGTTTTCGCTCCAATTTCTTGAAAGATAGAAAAATTGCTTCTTTTTTTTTGCAATAAAGAAAAATTGCTTTTTTTTTGCAATAAAAAGCGTTGCAACGCTTGCCTGCACCACCATGTAACGCGGCGAAGAACGGCATGAGATAATGGCAAGAAAAAGTCTTTTTTAAGAGTTCTTTTTAATGTTAGGAACTGAAGGCAGCGCTCACACATACTATTAGGTTGCCACATAAGTCTTGTTGCACTTCAAACTATTAGGTTGCCACATAAGTCTTGTTACACTTCAACTTCTTACGGCGATAAGACATGCACCTCATATTCTTGGCAAGGCTCCAGAACACCATTCGATAGAGCGAAGCAAGCTCTACAAGACATTATGCAAATGTTCGCACCAAGACCCATCATAAGTTTGCATCCCAAATTTGAGTCGTACTAAAGGCTCAAAAAACGTGAAAAACTCATATCTTCGCTCTACAAATCTCCAGCTTGCTCATAAAAATTGCACACTATATCAGACGCTCGTATATACGCTCGACGCTCGTTGCTGTATTTTTTCCTCATCTATCGAGAAAACGAAAGTTTTCTTGTTTTTACAAAAACAAAGCTATGCTGTTTCTATTTATGTAGCTGTATGCTACAAGCCCTTAGAAGTATAACCGTAAATTTTCAGCTTTCTAGAAGCCCTAGTTTTCGAAAATTACCTAATTAAGTATAGACCACCTGAGTGAAAAAAAGCTGAATTCGGTATTTTTCGAAAACTAGTGCTTCTGGAAAGCTGAAAATTTACTGTTGTATTTTAAGGGTTTGTAGTATGCATGTACATATATAGAAACAGCATAGCATCGTTTTAGTAAAAACAAGAAAATTTTCGTTTTCTCGATTTCTAGATGAGGAAAAAAACAGCAACGGTACATGTGAGTGTCTGATATAGTGTGCAATTTTTGTGAGAAAGCTGGAGATTTGTAGAATTTTTTTGAATGAAGATATGAGTTTTTCGATTTTTTTGAGCCTTCAGTACGACTCAGATTTTGGATGCAAACTTATAGTGAGTCGCAGTTGGTACGAACTTTTGCATACTATTTTGTAGAGCCTGCTTTGCTCTATTGAATGATTCCCTGAAGCCCTGTGAAGAATATGAGGAGCATGACTTATCGCCGTAAGAAGTAAAGTGTAACAAGACTTATGTAACAACCTAATATTATCTTATTCCTATTTTATCACTCGCAAGTCTTTTCATGATTTTCATAATCGATCTCAAACATTTTCGAATACAAAGCGCGTGGAAACAACAAAAACTCTCGCTTG